GTGTGATAGCCATCTTTATGTGGCTTATTACCTTTACTGTTTTTTAAAAGACTTGATTTTTAAAAACTATTTGTTTATATAACTGTATATATTTATTTTTGTCTCTCTTTCAAGCCTACGTACATTTTTACATACATTGTAACCTATTCCTTCTGACTCAGTCTTATTGTGGACCTATTGCTTTAAACTGCAACATTCTAAGACTGAAAAGGCGCTGTGGCTGCTGGCTCTGCCCACTTCAGCTTCCCAACATGGCGGGGGTACGTTTTCCGCCAGCTATGGGAGCCATCAACTCTCAGAAATAGTGGGTCTATGTTTCTATCAAAGCAGTGTGTAGCCCAGAAACCTCTTTTTGTTTTATACTAGCAAAGGCTAAATCCACCACGCACCTTAAAGTGCCCCTTGCAGAGGCCTCATTCCTGCCATAGGGCAGGTCAAGCGCTCACGCCAGGAACCCACCATAGTACATAGTAGGTCAAACACGCAGGCTGCTGCTAACTTGAAAGAGACAACTAGGAACTGTTTTTAGCTCTGTTTTAGTATCTTTTTACTCAGGTTTTAGGTGGAAACTCTTGCCAATATGTTGGGCACCATTTGTAGCTGGTGAGCTTTTCTCTCTGGGTCTCACCAAGTCCTGCCAGTCCCGGAGCCCACTTATAAAATATACACACAGACACTTACATTATTTAAACTGCTTGGCCATTAGCTCAGGGCTATCATTGTCTACCTCTTACTCTTATATTTAGCCCATTTCTATTAATCTATACTTTGCCACGTGGCTCGTGGCTTACTGGTATCTTACATCTTGCTTGTCCTGGGGGCGACTCCAGGCAGTCTCTCCCTCTGCCTTCCTGTTCCCTCAGTTCTCTTCTCTGTTAGTTCTGCCTATACTTCCTGTCTGGCTACAGGCCAATCAGTGTTTATTTATACAGAGCGATATCCACAGCAAAGGAATAACATTTTATTTAAGTATATATGTGTTTTCCATATTTTTATGCTCACAGCATGATGCATTATTCACCCGCATCCCTGAGTTCAATACAAAACAAAGCCTTTGCACTGGAGACAAACACTGTAATGAGCTGCCATGTGTGTAGAGAAAATTAAATTATATTTCTCTGCAGGAACAGCAAGTGCCTTTACCTCTGAGCCATTTCTCTAACTCCATGGTTTACATTCCTGTTGTATATTTGTGAGGCAGATAATATAGAACCTTGTATCGTTTAGCTTTTGAGAAAAGAAGGAAGAATTAAAAATGACACTTCACTATGTAACCTAAAATCCTGTTAGATGATAAGCTCAAATACTGAAGGAAAGAATAAAGTTGAAATGAAAAGATTTGAGTTTTTCATTGATCCAATCTTATGAGTTCAAAATTAATGAAGAATTAGTGTGATTCTCACAAAACTTAATACATTTGTTTCAATCAGTGTAGACGTTTCTACTTGATCTGGATGCATTGTCACACACGTTCCATTTTTTATACAATATTTCTAACTGTTCTGTAGTGAAACACCATATAGAATTCATGAAATTGTTATTATCTCTACTGTTATGTCAACTTTTAGAAAAATTTACATAATATTCTGTCTATTTCTGACTTTTCTGTTTACTTCTTGGTTATGAAAATTTTGTCATAAAATAACTGCACCAAATATTTGAGTCTGTATGTTGTTTGGAACATTAGATGTATACGCTGATGTTACATGCCTTACTATTTAAAGAAAACACTCCTTATTTTTATTCTTATATGGATTATGCATTCCAAAATCTCTATCTTGGTTTTGGAAAGGTTGCAGCATTGCACCTAGGTCTCAGGATCTCAACTGAACATGTTAGAATATAGTATGGTGTGGCCCAGCTACAGATAGGATCAATACAGTGTCCGTAGTTGAGTTGGATTGTAGAATTTGGAAGCATAGTTCAGTTTAGCTAATCATATGTTAACCATCTGAGACTGACCCAGGGAATCTTCTTTGATCTTAACACATACTTCCTAAAGGTAAATTTCTGCATGTGGACCTCACATATGTGTTATATTCCCTAAAAGTTTGCCAATTGTGATGCTATTAATGTCATCCTCTTCATAGAGATAGAAAATACAGTACAGCCTGTGGCTATTTTATTCTTTTAGTACAATTAAATTTCAGTTTTAGTTTATGTATGTGGGTATAATTGCCTGAACATATTAGTGTGTGCTATATCCAGTCTGTATAGTTCAAAAGTGAGCTTGGGATCTCATGGAATTGCTGTTAAAAATCTGTTGTGTACAGGGCTCTGGGATCCCAACTACGTTTTAAAGGACTAAAAATCATTACAGAATCCAAATAGCAGAGACCATTTTCATATGAACTGGTTGTGGCAAATCCTTTATCTGCTGTTTACATCTTAGAAAACATCAACAAATTTATGCAGGAGAGAGACCTTAAGAATGAATGTAAGCAATGTAGTAAGTTGTTCATTGCATTGTCTATGGAAGAGCAGCAGTGATAACATCTATCCCAGTTCTGTAGACCTGCAGAAAACTTTGTCTTTGAACAACTGCCATACCTCATCTGTGTCACAGATGTGTCTCTAATTCTTTAGGGTCTTTTATTTAGGAATGCATGTTGTACAGCAGCAATGGTATATAGGTATTTTTCTCTTGCAGTGTCTATTAACATTCAGGGATGTGGCTGTGGATCTCTCAAAGGAGGAATGGGAATGTCTAGATTGTGCTCAGAGGGCACTGTACATGGATGTAATGTTGGAGAATTACAACAATCTAGTCTTTGTAGGTAAGAATGCTCTTCTCTAGAATTCCCGATTCAATCATTTTTATTTACAATCTTTGTTTATATGTAATCTCTTTGAACTGTCTAGAAACTCCCAGAAATAAGGAAAATTCTGGTTATCACCATAGCTTTTTCATGGTACCTCCTGTTCATTTTTCTTTGTTCTGTAGGAGCATAAGTAGTGCTATATTCTGTGTGATTTCTCCAGCTCTCCCCTCTAGTTTTTAAAGAAAACTTCAAAGTTCAAAGGAAACTGAATATTCAGAGCATGAAGTAAATTGCAATACACTCAAAAATTGGATTATTGTGACTATACTATTGGATTTAATTACTCCCCTATTTCTGATTTTTACAGTTTAGGAGGTTTTAAGTAAAAATTGATCTGTTGGTAGTTAGCATGGGTTTTTGTTTGCTTCGTTTATTTATTCAGTTTTTGATATGTGTTCTCTACATTTAGCCCCAAGAAGGGATGATTTTAATCCTAGCAGTATGGATGCAGAAACAAAACTATATGTTGTGTTCTATCCCTACCTTGGTTACCATATGTGTTCCTAGCTGACCAAAGTGATCCTTTGTGGCTGTTTCAAAAATGTATACAGGAAAATAGATAAACATTATTCATATGATCTTTCAAAGCACTTCCCTGATTATTGCTTGGTCACTTATTTGTCCTATGTTCTGCAAGGTACTCAGTTTAGATGAAGAAGAAAGCCATAGTTGATCCTTTTGGTTTGACATAGGTCAGACTGGAGTTTCTTCTGAGCATCTATTTAATGATGTGAGACAGAATAGACCTCTGGTGAGACCTCTATCCCTGAGAATTGGAAGTTTATATGTAATAGAAAAACTTAAGGTAATCAGTCATTAAATCTCTTACTCATGCTTTAATTCCTGTTTTCCCTCCTTGTGGCAATTTTCCAGGTCAAAATCAAAGAGTCCAGAAAGAACACAAAAATACAGAGCTTGATAAATCTTTTGACTGTCAACATAAACTCACCCTGAAAGGAACCAATAGTGGAAAGAAAGCATACCAAAGCAGGAAAGGTAGAAACTGTTTCAAGACAGACTCAAGCCTTAAGAGACATCACAGAACTCATACTAGACAGAAACCCTATAAATGTACAAAATGTAGTAAATCCTTTACATGTTTGTCACAACTCAAACTACATTGCAAATTCCATTGTGGAGAAAAATCTTACACATGTACAGACTGTTCTAAGTTCTTTTACCAGAAATCAGAATTTAAAAGACATTTGCATCAGAAAATTTGTGCTGAAGAGAAACCTTATGCATCTGGTGAATATGATAAATTCTTTACCCAGAAAATGAATCTTAGAACTCATCAGAGAAATCATACTGGACAGAAACCTTATAAATGTATTGAATGTGATAAATCCTTTACCACTGCCTCACATCTTAGAACTCATCAGAGAATGCATACAGGAGAGAAACCTCACAAATGCAATGAATGTGATAAGTCCTTTACTCGGAAAGACCGTCTTAGAAGACATCAGAAAATTCATACAGGAGAGAAACCTTATAAATGCAATGAATGTGACAAATCCTTTACCCTGAAAAGCAATCTTAGAACTCATCAGAGAATTCATTCAGGAGAGAAACCCTACAGATGCAGTGAATGTGATGAATCCTTTATTCGTAAAGACCGTCTTAGAACTCATCAGAGAATGCATACAGGAGAGAAACCTTACAAATGCAATGAATGTGATAAATCCTTTATCAATTGCACAGAACATAGAATACATCAGAGAATGCACACAGGAGTGAAATTTTACAGATGTAGTGAATGCGATAAATCTTTTACCCATAGAGGTATTTTTAATACTCATCAGAGAATTCATACAGGAGAGAGACCTTACAAATGTATTGAATGTGACAAATCTTTCATCCGGAGAATCCATCTTACATATCATCAGAGAATTCATACAGGAGAGAAACCTTACAAATGCAGTGAATGTGGTAAATCTTTTAACGACAGAGGCAGTCTTAATACTCATCAGAGAATGCATACAGGAGCGAAACCTTACAAATGTGTTGAATGTGAGAAATCCTTTACCACTTCCTCTCATCTTAGAACTCATCAGAGAATTCATACAGGAGAGAAGCCCTACAAGTGCAGTCAATGTGACAAATCCTTTACAAGTGGCACAGACCACAAAAGACATGAGAGAATTCATACAGGACAAAAACCTTACAAATGCAGTGAATGTGATAAATCCTTTACACATAGAAGCAGCCTTAGTATACATCAGAGAATGCATACAGGAGAGAAGCCTTACAAATGTAGTGACTGTGACAAATCTTTTACCACTGCCTCACATCTTAGAATTCATCAGAGAATTCATACAGGAGAGAAACCTTACAAATGTGGTGAATGTGAGAAATCCTTTACCCGTAGAGGCAGTCTTAGTACTCATCAGAGAGTGCATACAGGAAAGAAACCTTACAAATGCAGTGAATTTGACAAATCTTTTCTTGAGAAAGACCATCTTAAAACTCATCAGAGTATAAATACAGGAGAGAAACCTTACAAATGCAGTGAATGTGGCAAATCCTTTACCCTGAAAAGCTATCTTAAAATTCATCAGAGAATTCATACAGGAGAGAAACCTTACAAATGCAGTGAATGTGACAAATCCTTTATTGCAATATTCAGTCTTACTGCTCATCAGAAAATTCATAAAGGAGAAAAACCTTACAAATGTAGTGAATGTGACAAATCTTTTACTCGAAAAGACCATCTTAGAACTCATCAGAGAATGCATACAGGAGAGAAACCTTACAAATGCAGGGAATGTGACAAATCCTTTACCCTGAAAAGCTATTTTAGAATTCATCAGAGAATTCATACAGGAGAGAAACCTTACAAATGCAGTGAATGTGACAAATCCTTTATCAGGACATTCAGTCTTACTACTCATCAGAAAATTCATAGAGGAGAAAAACCTTACAAATGTAGTGAATGTGACAAATCCTTTACTCGGAAAGACCATCTTAGAACTCATCAGAGAATGCATACAGGAGAGAAACCTTACAAATGCAAGGAATGTGATAAATCCTTTACCCATATAGGCAGTTTCCATACTCATCAGAGAATTCATACAGGAGAGAAACCTTACAAATGTATTGAATGTGAGAAATCCTTTACAACTGCCTCACATCTTAGAACTCATCAGAGAATTCATACAGGAGAGAAACCTTACAAATGCAGTGAATGTGACAAATCCTTTGTCAGTTGCACAGAATGTAGAAGACATCAGAGAATTCATACCGGAGAGAAACCTTACAAATGCAATGAATGTGATAAGTCCTTTACCACTGCCTCACATCTTAGACTTCATCAGAGAATTCATGCAGGAAGGAAACCTTAGAAAGGCAGTGAAGGTGACAAATCCTTTATGAAAACTACCATAGAATTCATCTTAAAATTCATGCAGAAGATAAACCTTACAATGCAGCAAATGTGACAAATCCTTATCTATAAAGGCAAACTTAGAACTTATCAGATAATACATACAGGAGAGAAATTTTACAAATGCTGTGAATGTGAGTTCACTTCAAAAGCTATATTAGAACTTATTAGAGAAATCATATAGGAGAGAAACCTTAAAATGCACTGAATGTGACAAATCCTTTAGCAAGAAAGGCCATTTGAGACCTCAGTAGATAATCTATAAAAGAGAGAAACCTTACCAATGTTGTGAATGTGACAGAGCCTTCATCAGTTGCTCAGACCATAGAAAACATCAGCAAATCCATACAGGAGAGAAACCCTACATATGAATTGGATGTGAAAAATCTTTTACATGTGCCCCCATCTCTTAGAAGAAATTAGAGTGTTCATACAGAAGAGAAAAGTTACCAATGTATTAAATGCAAGAAATCTGCCACAAAAATCATCCTGAGAACACACCAAAGTGTTTATACAGGTGAGAAAGTTTACCATGACTATATGAGAAAAAGCCTTTACTGTCTCTCAAGTCTCAACATAAAATTATGAAAGCTTTTCAGTAACATTCAAATCTTAGAATATACATTTATACTGAGGGAAATTCTAAAGATGTTGAAATGTAGGAAAATTTTCATTAGAACTTTTTATACCTATGCAACCTTAAATGCTTCATAATGAAGATACAACACAGAATCCTGGAGAATATGCTGTTAAGTAACCATTTCCTGGTGACTGCAGGCATGTGTGTTGTATAGGAACTGAGTCAGAAAACCTCAAAAGGTTTTCAAGCGATCCATCCCTGAAACTGACAGATTTCAGTATGCTTAAATCAAATGAAGAAATTCAAATCCTAGTGCTTGAAAAGGTTTTGACAAAATGATCCACCAAGATAGGATGCTTTTTATCTAGTTGATATGCCTACAGGTGTGCAGTGTGTTCCCATTGTTATGAATGTATATGCTGTATCCCATGCTGGTTTGGAGCTTCATGATAAAAACTGTCTTTGAGTCCCCTCTTCTCCAGTAAGCAACTACTTGACCCTATTTCTCAAACTAACGCTAATAAAGCTCTTGGGTTTAACAGGGTTGACTTGGTTCTCTTTTCAGTTCCCTGTTGGGATAAGTAGCTTCATGGGTATAGTGCATTTCCCCCAGGAAAAGTGTCTCATTAAACATGTGCTTAAGCACTTGTTCCTCCAAACTTGATGTACAACAGATAATAGATGCCAGAAAGCATTTACATCACTAAAGCAGGGAAGACCTTTTGCTCACTGCTCCAGGTTTACTACTATAATAGTACTTCATTCAGTTAAATATGCTCCACACAGATAGAATGTAAAACCTTGTTTGGTTTGACAAATAAAGGCTTGCATGGAGATCAAATGGTGGAGCTAGCCACTAGTTACCCATAAGAGCAGGGTAGTGGAGGCTCGTGCCTTTAATCCCAGCACTAGGGGGGTAGAGACAGGAATATAAGGCAAGTGGAGGCCGGATCTCCCCCCCCCACACACACACACACACACACTCACCTCTAATATGTAAAGGTGATTGTAACTGCCTTGATTCTCTGATTTATTTTTAAGCTTTTATCCTAATATCTGTCTCTGGGTTTTTATTGTTTTATGTGCCTGTCCTACCATTTTATTTTATCATGTGGATGCTCAGTGGGAGTCAGAGTAGTATGCTCTGAACTTGTTTGCCCCGCCTCAGGGGTCTCAGCAACTGGACTATACCTGTCTTAGGTTGGCTTGCCAAAGGGTTCTTAACCTGATTATCAACCCTTGAAGATCATTCATCCCTGGGGAGTCACCCTGGGTGTGGAGGGACAGGCATGCATAACATCCTGTGGAGAGCTATGAGTCGGATGTCTAAGAGCCATTAACACCTGTAGAGTCAACTTATTGGCCACCCTTTGTTGCCAGATGTCCTGTAAGAGACACTTACAAGGAGGAAGTTTAAAAGTACCACCCCACCAATCAAAATGTAAGTTAAAATTCAGAAGGGATCAACCAGGCTTTTTACATCATGCTAAACATTTTCAAAAAATAAAGAGTCAAAGACCATAATCTCTGTTCTTGTCTAATGTGATTGGAAAGGTTTGTGTTTTATTTGTCTACATTGACTGGGAAGGCAGCTATGGGCCAATGGACTCTCAGTGGAGCAGGCTGTGAGGGTTATAAGTTTTCCTTTAAAGATGTTTTTCATCCTCATCTGCTCTTTTGTATAAAAGTAAAGCTAGCTTTTTGTGATGATGGTCTAGCATTAATTTTCTTTAAGTTTTCAGCTATATTTTCCTGTGGGGCACTAGTATAGGAACTTGTAAAGGAATTAGAGAAAGGGGGGACCCACTCACAGTGAGGAATTCATCTGGGATGCTGGATTATTCAGAATCCATACCAAAACAATTCTTCACTGAGAGATCTTTTATTAAGCAGGAAAGAAAAGTTAAAATGACTGTTTTCTGACTCAGTAGGAAAACAAGAACAAATGACCTTGCAGGTGGAATTCTTAAGAAGAAAACAAGGGGGACTATGTGTTAAAATGGGCTAGCATGCAGTGGTAAAGGAGATAAAGGAGAAGGGGAAAGGGGACAGGGATATTTGTCCTGGAGGGACAGAACACTGCCTCACTGCCGCTGGATACAGGGATTAGGGAATCTGGCACAAAGGCAAATGAAAATTTATAAAGGTAAAGGGGAAAACCCCCATGTTGGGATGAGGTGAGTAATTTCAATTGGTATGTTAATCAGAAGCCCCTGTGGGACTTCAGTACTTCCATAGCTGGACCTTGGGAGAAAACCTCAGGAGGATCAAGTGGTGAAAGAAGGGAATATAGACCTTGGTGGTTAGCTTTAAAGATGTAATCTAATGCCTTTAGCAAGGCAGAGGGAATGGGAGAGAAGGGCAAGGCTTTCCAGAACCCCATGTTCCAGTGGGCTAGTGGCCTTTCAAAGAATTCAGTGCTGAATCTGTCCAGTCTTCAGGCACTGTTAGAGGAAACTCTGACTGCATGGGTTTCATTATTTGCTTATTGTTTGGCCTAGTTTTATGGCATAGGAGTTTGAATTGTTCACTTGTTTCTAGGAAGTCACTCTTCTTGAATTCTCATTAATATTGTATCAATTTTCACAGTACTCCATAAGGTAACATTAATGTCATTGACATATATTGTAGTATCCCCTTTTCAGATCTAATTATATTACTTTTTGAGATTCAGTCTCTTATTTGGATTGGTGAGGAAGTTTGTCACTATCTGTGTCTCTTTACTGCAAGAAGTCTGTACATTGATTCTGTCTATCTTTGAGTCTCTAAGTCATTAATTTCTACCCTGGGCACTGACTCTCCAAAACCCCCAGAGTAATCAATCAGATGTGATAGAGAAGGGACAATTTCTTCCTTTCTAAATGGGTCCGATGGCCCAACAAGACTAGCATTTGGTCAGGAAATAAGTTGAATTGAGGGTTGTGAATTGATTCCCCTTTAAGTCACATGTTGATCATGTGAATTCCACTGATTGTCTCATGGAACCACCTTCAGAACGACACATCCTGATTCTATTGCTACTCATAATTTCTTTCTCCTTTTGTTAGTTTTAAAACAATGAATTCCCAATCCTTGTGGCCTTTGATTTCTGCTGCATAGGGTCAGTGAAAAATCAATTATGTCTGTTTCCTTTATCAAAGCTGATAATTTTCAACTGTTGCCTCATATTTGTAGATGTAAGCACTACAAGCTGGTTTTCTGTTTATTGTCTTAATATTCTTGATGATATTGTTGCTATCCTTCATTTAGTTTTTATTCATCTCATTTAGCTCATTGAGTACCTGGAACTCACTCTGTAGCCCAGGCTGGCCTCGAACTCACAGAGATCTGCCTGGCTCTGCCTCCTGAGTGCTGGGATTAAAAGCATGTGCCACCACCGCCCAGCTCTTTTGAATTCTTATTGTCATAAATATCCATCATTAATTTGAGAGATTTTGGTATTTTATTTATCTAGGTCCTTTGAACAGTTTTTTGACTATTGTTTAATTTGATCATAAGAAATTTGGAGTTGTGTGTTATTTCTATATGATGGAAAAAGGTTAGAACAGTTCCCCCAAATCATGAGAGGTAAACATAGCCTTAGTCCACACAATGACCAGGGTGATCAGGTAGAACGATGGTAGTATTAAATGACATCTCTCCCATTGTGACTCTAAAGTACTTGAGCAGTAGCAAGGAAAGAAACCATCCAAACATTAAATATCAATTAAAACCATTAAAATCAAGAAAAGTATTTCATAATAGATTAAATGTAACGTCAGTGTAAAAAAGTGCTATGTATATACGTATGCCATAGTCATGAATACATGTAGTAATAGTGTTGCAACATTCACAATGAGTCCTTAATTTTGACATATGCATTAACATGTATGTATGTGTTTATATTCACATATGTGTATTTATATGTATCTATGCCAGGAGACCCATGTCACGCATTCTTACTTACATATGAAACTACAAAGTTGATTGCCAGAGAGAAAATCTATAACAACCAGAAAGTGAAGGGCATCACTGTAGTTATATATATTACTAATTGGGAACCTGAAAACTGCCTGGAAGAATACCAAGACACAACTCTATCCGTGTTTAGGAAGATAGATGATAGGATTCTGAAGGATCTGGCATAATCAGTGATTAATTCCAAGGGCATACCCTGAGAATGAAGTCTCTTCTCTCCAGCAGCCATCATGTAGTTTCTGCCATGCATTCTCCTTAATAATTATGTCTGAACATTGTCTAAGACAATGGTTCTCAACCTGTGGGTCGAAACCTTTGGAGGTTCAAACTACCCTTAATCAGGAGTCACCTAAGACTATTGAAAAACACATTTCTAATGATCTTAGGAACTGAGGGACTGCTCCTCTATCCATTTCCAGGCAGGTCTGCTCACATGCAGATACATCCACATATGAGTACACAGAACTGTTTTAAAGGCTCACAGCTTTAGGAAAGTTGAAAAACACTTAATTTTAACATTTAGCATACAGACATGCCATTTAAAGACATACGGCTTAAATTATAATATTCTACCTATAAATGCATTCACATGGATTTCAAGGGATCAGTATTCTCACAAAAAAGTGTGCATGCAACTTAGAAAACAGGTCCACATTGAAAGCAGTAAATTGGAAAGCTACATTTTACCCAAGTGAACCATGTAAAGCCTTCTTAGATGATGGTAAGAATGACTCTAACTAGTTTGTCATCTAATCTAGATGACAAATTTATTATCATTTTGAGAAAAAAACCATAATATTTGGCAGACAGACATGTAGTCCTCCAAGACAGTATGACACACATGGTAAATACATGTACTGTGTCTACCAGGTAAAATGAAATGAAATGTGATTTCCAGATAGAGGAATTCTGGGAGAAATCAGTGGCACACGGAATTCTCCAGCGAGTCATGGAGGAATCAGGAACACAATACGGAGGAGAGGTAATGAACCACATGGCAGAATGTAGATTAATACAAATAGATTAATAAAGTGATTTTTTTATTGTTTGATTATTTAATAAAACTCAAGTGTCAGATATTGGGATACAAGATTGATAGATCTACAGAGTAATGGAGAAACTTGCCTCTTTATGCTTCCCATATGGAAAAGGCCATGAATCTTTCCAAGCCCTCCCCTATTCCTTCCTGTGTCTCTCTATCCTAATCTGGGTCCAACAAAACCTCTATGGTTAATTCTGGTCAGCGCATTGCTAACTCCACACCCTGATTCAAGGTCAACTTTATTGGCAGTCTTGGGAGTTTCACACAGTGTAACCAAAATGTCCCACAACAGGTTAATTTATATTATTTGAGCTAGTTAGGAACATGCCCAAACTACCTAATCAATAAATCTTTTAAGTATAATTGGATTGAAAGTGGTCTTTTCTCCAGGATCAAAAACTCCATAACACTAGGTATTTTCTACTAACCTATAACTGCTGATAGCAGTGTGCACTGGTGGAAAATTTTGGAGGCCCTCAAACCTTTTGTCAGAAAGTGACTGATCTGGGAATGTGGCTGTGTTTATATTGGAGATACTTTTCTGT